CCAAGGCCGTTAAGCCTCTTCTAACCGGTTTCCCAGCCAGGTGAATGGTTGTTCATCATCATCGAAATGGTTCCCGCCATTTGTTCGGTCGCCAGAGCCTCGTCTGTTGTCTAGCAGGGAGTACCACGGGGCAGAAATACGCCGCCCCGCCGCCATCCGGCGCGTGCAGGTGAGGTTGACAATAATTAAGGGTCGGATGAGATCTTAGTTCCGTTATCCCCTTACTCCCCCGAGCTCCTCATGTGACATACTAAAAAACAAAAAATATTTTTTTCCTCTTGGGCACCCCTATTTCCATAGAAATCAGAATAAAATTTAGAAATGCTATATCTCCCAAGTCATTCTAGTTCAGCGACTATAATTTTGATCAAGGATAGGTAAATATATACTTCATCTAATACAGACAAAAACAAACGCTAATATGGTCAAAGCACAGTCAAATTAAAAAAAATAACAAACATCAATAAAACATAATTATCTTTTAATAAAGAAAAGTTAGTATACCTAGCTTTTTATATGTTATGGGTATCATATTCATAAATCTGGAAAAAAAGCTATAGATATTTATCATGATTTTTTCGAGTTAAAATATAAATAAGTTTAGCAAAGGTCATCGACCTAACATACAAAAAAATAATGCACGAAAATTAAACATGATAATCAACTGGGTGTTCCACAGTAAGATTAATTATGACCCAACGCACCGAATCATAATATAAAATAGAGGTGATCAAAATTCATCCAAAATCCCACACTGTGCAGCTGTAGATGGTTGCTTTTGAAGGTCCTTGATCCATAAAAGCAGTTCGGAATCGATTAAATGACTCATCAAGTTTTAAGCCACATTTAAAATCGTAATAAACCATAGCACGAAAATGTTCTCGATGCATATCCATTTTTTAATAAGACAAGAAAAATTTAACTGGCTCTCGAAAATATGCGGAGAGAAATTTGAAAATCGAACAGTGGTATTTTTACTTTTAAATAATCGTAGTTTTTAAAATATTTACAATTAGCCAGTATCTTATATACATAAAATCTTTGTTCGTAATACTTCCTGAGTGTCCGTTTTATCTCACACGCCATACTAGGTGAGGTATTCCAAAAACAAAAACAACAAATGAAGCATGAGTTGCACCCACTTACTTTAACTGTTCAGTTAAGTTACCGGTTAGGCAAATAATGGGTTGCGCTATTTAACGATAGTAAATGAATAAAACTAGTTTTTACGGGTTAATGCACGAAACTTAATGAGTGATGTGCGTGAAAACCTAAGAAACAGAAAGTAAATGAGATTAATATTTGAAAGTGACAATTAACTGTCCAAGCAAGGCCAGTTAATGTTTTAGTAAAATTTAACATTAAGTAGCTCTGTGGTGCAACTTATACATTTAATAATATGTACTTTATAACGCTAATTAATAGGAAATGTATTGTAGTTACTAAGTGTGAGTTGCACCACAGACCTAGTTAAAGTAAAATTAGTAAAATTTTACTATAACTTTAATCGGCCTGGCTTGGCCAGTTATTGTCATTGTTAAATTATGACTGCGTTTTAATAATCATCAATTGATGCAACCCATTTTCACCTAACCGATACTATAACTGAATAGTTAAAGTACTTAAGTTGGTGCAACTCTTCCTCAATATAGTTCAAAAAACATTGTAACACATAAAAAAATTAAACTTTATTTTCGATTTTGAAATTGGTTTTATTTTTTGTATATTTTTTTTATTTCATCCATTTTAGTGAAAATTACATTATCCATAAAACACGCACATAAAATAAAAAGTTCTGGGTTAAACTAAATATGTTTTATAAAACCGAACGGCAAGTATACTCCTATCATACTCCCATCATACTCCCATCGAACAAAAGAAGAATCACTCAAATTGGACCAGAAATGTTTAAGTAATCGGTCTGCAGATGAACAAGGTATCGTGAAAAATAACGTCGTCAAAGTAACAAAAATGCTTATAAAATAAACACTACAAGGCCAACAAAATCAAACATTAAAATTTTTATGGGACCAAATGGTATTGAGAACCGAACAAAAAAAACATGCAATTCGGGTGTATTGTATGTGCACCGATTCCGACTCCGTAATCGGTGCACATACAAAAAAAAACATAGCCACCGAATTGAGAACCTCCTCTTTTTGAAGTCGTTTAAAACGAAAATAAATTGACTGAGTACGTGTACGGAATTCAAACGGTCATTATTACAATCACAGTCTGCGATGAGAGCGATGTGTGAAGCCGTGAGGGGTTGACCCATCAGACCACCCCGTCCTGAAGATGGGGCGCCGGCCGGCGACGCGCGAGTTGAAGACAACGATGGAATCGTCTGGATTCTCCCGACATTTAATGTGATCTTCAGACTCCTCAGAAATAATGAAAATCTCCCGACAAACAAACATGATTATGACCTTCCGTAAACCCTGTGCCGCAGTATTATTTGAAAATAGTACACGAGGTTGAGGCTCATGCACTGTGGAGGACGGAAAGAGACGTCAACAACAAAAAAACTTTGCCAGGATGTGAGCTTCATTAGATTGAGTTGTATTTACGTCATTAATTTCATGTCATTTCTTTTGTACAAATTGCTTGATGTTTAAATCTAAAGAAAATATAACTAGAAAAAAGTCCACGTGGACCAGGCAGCAGACGGGACTCGAACCCGCAATTGTGGGTTACTTATAATGCGAGGAGATGGCGCTGCCTTGCAGCTTAAGAATGGCTAGAAGAATTTCGACGCGGTCCGTGAGGGCCGCGGTAGCAGAATTGGTCAGTGCATTCGCCCGGATTGCGAAGGGTGCGGGTTCGAGTCCCGTCTGCTACCTGGTCCGCGTGGAATTTTTTCTAGTTATATTTTCTTTAAACTTAATTTTTACAATTTCTATTTTTTTGGGGACTCATTCACAAAATATATTAACTTATGTATGTGTATGTTTATATATTATTACTAGCGGCCCGTCCCGGCTTCACTCGGGTGTATTAAATACTATGTAAATATAATGAATCAGCATTTACTCGTATATCTAAAATACAAAGAAAAATTAACAACAAATAAACAAAAGGAAACAGTGGAAGAGCTTTTCACTATATAACGAAAAAACAATTATACAAAAGCTACACCAACAAATTTGAAGGACGTAAATTCAATGAAAGAAAATTCAGTTCCACACGCATCGCTTAGGGAACCTCGGTTTTCATTCTACGGCATTCAATTTTCCATTTTTTTAAATTTTCGAATACTGCTTACGTCACGTTCTATTGTGTCTTGCGCTTGTTCTTTTTTTATATTGTATTGGTTCTGAAATGAGAAAGTCTGAAGCCACTTTTTTTATAATTATTTATATAGGTATGGAGCATTACAATGTCTCCATCCGTATATTGAATATCTATAGAAATACCTACTATATAGCTGTCCCAGCGAACTTCGTACCGCCATAAAAAATAGGGTTTGGTGGTAGAAGGGTGAAAATTTAGGGTTGTATGTATTTTTGTATGATGAAGGTCCAAAAAAAATTGTTTAAGTGTGGACCACCCTTAACATTTAGGGGGATGAAAAATAGATGTTGTCCGATTCTCAGACCCACTGAATATGCATATACAATTTCAGGAAAATCGGTCGAGCCGTTTCGGCTAGTAGTTAAAACTGTCTTTATCAGTTATTAATAAAATGTGAAAAAATAATTATTGCACTGGAAATTAATAACAAATTCACGATGAGAGTAAAATTAACGTAATAGATGCACAGAAAATAATACGTATAAGTCACTGCTACGATCGATACACAAATGAAACAAAAAAAAATGGCCGAAAACTGTATATTGAGGAAGAAAGGAGACCGGCTTCCTTCTCATCCCTACTCCGTGATGTTTGCTGGATGAGAGGTGACCCAGGTAGACATCTAGCGGGGATAACTGATCGATTGATCGTTGATCGGTTATCGACCGGTGAAGGCGGAAGATCAAATTGAATTGAGAAAAAAAAAATATTAAAAATAAAAATCGCGATGATAAAATAGGGGTTGATTTTAAAGGGTTGAAAATTCAGGGTTATATGTATTTACTAATGCTGTATCATAAAAATAAAACTAAAATATATAAACCTAAAATTAAAAAAAAAATTGGGGTGGATTACCCTTAACATTTAGGGGGATGAAAATCGGTCGAGCCGTTTCGGAGGAGTTTAACCACAAACACCGCGACACGAGAATTTTATATATTAGATTTTTATAAACTTTTCTTTCAATGTGATTTCCACCTCAGTTGTGCACCTTACCACTAATAATCTCCACAACATCCTATGGTTGACTGCAAGAGAATGCCTACGGCATTAAGTCCGCCATTGTACATTTGTGCATAAAGAATAAATAAATAAAATAAACGGTAAAAACGAAACCCCTATTAAGTGTCAAAACTTGTTATCAATCCATTGTTCTCTCAGTGGCTGTACCCCAGAATCGCATTAGCTATAGACAGTAAAAAATTAGAAGGAGAACCCATTAAAGAAATGTGCGTGCTCTATTTCGAATTTACTATTTGTTCGAGTACAGTAGCGAACACTTTGTATACAAGTCCGAGTCACTTTAAGAGTGTAACTCAAAAAACAGACATTTATCATATAAACAAAATACAATAAGCACCATTAATTAAATTAGACATGACGAGACTTAAGTTCTTATTTAGGTTTTTTCTTCGTCTCTCAGGGAGATTATCAAAAAGTATTGGACACGTATTTTTTTTTACTTTATTGTGAATAAAGTAAAAATACGTGTCCAATACTTTCATCAAAACATTACAGAGACAATTATATCAATTAAAAATGTCGCATGACGCCACGGTTTGGTACAATTTTACTTAAAAGTGACGTCACGAGCCCCCACTGACTGATTGAACAAAGAAATAATACGTGTCCAATATATTTTGATAATATGACTAAATTTCGTTTAAAATTTAGTTGACTTTACCCCGTCGTCATCCCTATTTCAGTGTTTCAGACAACTGTAGCACAATGCAGCCTGAGTGCCTGTGAGGTTTTTGAAATGTTAACTCGGGGTATTAATAAGGAAGAACATCCAAACCGTAGCTCTTGCAGTTCTGACATTCATTGGAGGCAACTAGACAGAAGGCTTCGAGCTATAGAACAATCTAGTAAGAATACTGAAACAAACACTTAATCATTTTAGAACACTATCATTTTAGACTGCTATTTGTCCTCCTATTTATCAGTGGGTAGTATTTTGTGAACTATGGATAGTTGCAATGAACACCGAATATGATGTAACAAAATAAACAATATTTCATATTATTTTTTGTGCTGTTAAGAATTCGGCTACTATTACACCAGACAAGTATATTACATACGCGGTGGTTTCACTGTATAAATTGTTCTTTAATTTGTAGGCATCAACTGAAAAATTAACACATCTGTTTTGTTTTGATTATTCAGCATGGACTATTAGTTTCGGCCAGTCAAGATGGCGCCAATGTTCCAAGAGTGTGTGTCAATGTGACGTCGCTCGTCGTTCCCTAAATTGCTGGAGATCTGGTTTATCTAACCTCGCAGCTGAATTGGTGGTTCCAGCTGATCTTCTTACAATGTAAGATACTTACCGCAATCATAATTTATCAGTCACAAGTTCTTTTCTTCGTCTTCCTCTCATTCAAATAATAATATACCTAGTAAACAACATATATTTTTTTAACAAAATTGACGGTTATGAGCAGAGTGGATTGTTTTAAAATCGTATTTTTTTTAAAAGTTATTATTTAATTTCAGTCGTCGCCACTTAAGCATTTTCTTTCTTATTCTCCTTGTTTCTATCTTTTTTAATTTTCTTTTCTTGAAGAATCTAAAAAGAGTTCCGATGACATTGCAGGGATCTGGGATCTAACAAGTTGCGAACGCTGCACAAAACGACATTTAAAGGCATGCGCTCACTTTCCGAGCTCGATATGTTCGATAATCGAGTGGAATACTTACCATCCGGAATATTTGATTCCTTGGTCAACCTCAGAATTCTGTCAGTGGTGAATTATGCATTTATTTATTTTGACATTACTTAAAAACAGACTTAAAAGCCAAATGTGGCTGCAGTGCTAAATTAATGTGTTAATAACTGATAGATATTAAAGTCAAAAACACGGCTAATGCTCCAGTACTGGTGACGTTTTAACAACTACTTTCCAAAAAAACTTAGTATTAAAATAAACTGCACAGCAATTCATAGAGCTTTTCTTGTTTTGGGAGCTTAAGGACTACTTACTTGTCGTTTTTTACACGAAACAAACATTAAGCTCACAAACTATTTAATATCTACCTAGGCATGCAATAAACCACAAACAATTTTACAATATTTCTCAAATTAATATAACTCTATAACTTTTCAGGCGACTACAAAGAAATTATTTGGAAGAAATTCACAGCGAAGCATTCCGAGCTACAAAAAAACTGTTTCATGTTGATTTATCGTACAACTATTTATATACACTCCCAGAAAGGGTGTTTGCCAACAATTCAATTTTGGAAACTATTGACTTGTCAAACAATCAAATAATGTATGTGCCAGCGGATAGCTTCTTAGGTCTGGATTCGTTGACAATATTGGATCTTTCAAAAAACAAGATCCAGAAAATAGAACATGGAACATTTGTAATTAAATCTCTTCAGATCTTAAAGTTGTCTGAAAACCGAATAAGTAATATTACTGAAAACGCTCTAGAGAGTCTCAATTCACTGGAAACCTTACTGCTTGATAAAAACAAGTTAGAAAATATTCCCAGTCATTTACTTTACAGTTTGAATTGCTTGACCTATTTAGACCTCTCTAATAACAACTTGATAAGTGTGAGTAAATTTTGCAATAAACAAAATGAATATTAATGTATGCCTGTTAAATAGTGCATCTATAAACTATTTTAATGACATGATTCAATAAGGTAATTAAATGAATAATTTATATCGCAATGCGCCTTATGGTGGTAATCTTTTCCTTTGGCTTTCCTGATCAGGAAATACCATGGACATGTATGATGTTAGTCAATCTATTAAAAAAGTGAAATATTACATTCTTGCTATTATATTATTTTTTATAAAAAAGATATGTAATATTCTTAAGTATTTATTTCTAGAAAATTTTGCACAACACAACATCTAGCAGTTAAATGCTTAAAAATAAAATAATAATAAACTAGATTTCACATGACCTACTTTAACCTAAATTTTCACTTCAACAAATCAATGAACGATGATAGGTATTATTATTAATAGAAACCTATTGAGCACATTAAAGGTAATTAAACTTATATGTATTACTTATATTTTCAGTTAACAGGAGTTGAATTCGACAATCTCAAAATGTTGCACAATTTGAACTTAAGGGAAAACGCTTTAACGGAAATACCAGACTTCACATTTTCAAAGTGCTCTAACCTAGAGAAATTGGATTTGTCTAAGAATAAACTGCGCTTTTTGAATTTCACAACATTCCACGGATTGGATAATCTCACATCTCTTCTCCTCTCTGACAATAAATTGCATGAAGTACATATTAAAGCATTTTATAATTTGAAAAATTTAACGACTTTGTAAGTATTTATATATGACACTATTTTAATGTTTATTTTTACTGAAATTTTAACATAATTCCAATAAGTGGGCATGAAATTTAAATTTGGTAAATACACCGTCAAAGGCCTCTTGGAGAGGCCTTAGTCCAGCAGTGGACTAGGATAGGCTGTTGATGACGATGATGATATACACCGTCATCATTATTAGCCAATTCATTGTCCTCTCTGCAGGGGGTCTTCTATGTGGATGGAATAGGGAGATTGGGCCATGCCTAACCCACCACTTGAGCCCGGGTGGATTGGTGGGTGCTAATGACTATAGATGCAGCCGGGGCCAAAGGCTTAACGTGCCTTACGAAGCACGGAGGAGCTCAAAATAATGAACATTTGGTCACCTATCCCATGACAGACCATTGCGAAAGTTTCATAACTTTCACGATCGAAGACGGAAAGCGCGTACCACTTGCATTTTTGTAAAAAGAATAAAACTCATTTACATGTTTCAGATACATAGATGGCAACCTGTTTCCTTCATTACCGTCCAGAACTTTGGATTACATGCCGAAATTAGCGATAGTCAAACTGTCTGGAAATCCATGGCATTGTGACTGTCACGTTTTATACATATCAGCGTAAGCTTATTTAAGTTTTCATAGATAAAGATTTAGTGATAATTTTAATTAGTTTTAAAGCATGTAACTGCTTGATATTTTAATCTAAAGAAAATATAACTAGAAAAAATTCCACGCGGACCAGGCAGCAGACGGGACTCGAACCCGCACCCTTCGTAATCCGGGTGAATGCACTGACCAATTATGCTACCGCGGCCCTCACGGATCGCGTCGAAATTGTTCTAGCCATTCTTAAGCTGCAAGACAGCGTCATCTCTTCGCATTATTTCTTTAGATTTAAATAATTTAGTGTTTCAAATTAAAAGCTTTAAACCTGAGTTATTGGTACTCGTGTTTACAAATCTTAACTAATCTTACAAAAGCTTTTAGAAAAGTATAGGTTTTGTTTAATTTGTTTAAATTTAGTAAATGCTAGACTTTAAATCGCTTATAATAGAAATTATGCCTAGAGCATTGTAGTACGTTTTTGCAGCTAACTCTCCGGAAAACTTTCATACTTAAACATTGTGCTAATTTTATGGAACACATTTCTATAATATTTTTAAACATGATGCTCACATTAAAATATAAAATATTGCAATATGATTATGATCACGAAATTCTAATGAATTAGGTAAGTACATATTTTGTCTTCTTGAGTGAGATAACAACAAATAGATTATTTATATGACGTCAGTTTCTAAAAATATGTATTTGTTTTAGTTTATCTTATCGTAATAATTAGTCATTATTACGATTAGTTTATTATTGTAATTTGTTTTTTCTTTAAGTTTTAGTTATATTATATTGGGAATGTCGAGTTCAATATTTATTGATGCAAAATGTGTGGCCCATAAATTAAAGATTTTGCTAAAACTTATTTTCTCGGATGAACGATAAACATAAAGTTAATTATTATACTACAGCCAATCCCTATCTACTGCCTAAATAGGTAAATGTATTGTAGGGAAACCCATTCGGGGATTTCCGGAGTCGGGCGGAACTCGGGTGCGAGGGGGGGGGGGGGGCAGACGGACCAGAGCCCTATGTAAATAGGGCTCTGGTAATGTAAGTAGGGCAGCAAAAAAAATTTCAACGTACGGCCATGACTTTTGGTCACGTCCAAAACATCAGTCTTTTAAAAAAAAGCTACTACAGGTGTCGTCCTAAGTGTTCAATAGTTTATAATATCGTGACGTCCTGCATGGATCGCCATGAACTTGGATCAGAAGAGAAAACAAAAAAAAATGCGGACAACTCCGCGCAGACATACAGACGGACAAGAATCACGTTAAATCCAAAGGTGTATGAAAAACGGGCAATTTAGATTTTTTTCTCTACTTCAATTAATATAGAAAGAGATTTTATTAATTTGACCGATGCATGGGCATGTTATTTGAAGCATCCAGAATAATTCTATACGTTCCAAATTTAAAATTTGCGGACTAATCCACGAAATACGGTCGCGCACCACCGCATTACGTTGTAGATTCCATTAGTGCAGGCGCTAGAGGTAGTTGAGTATGCTAAATGTGAGGACCGAATTCCATCAATGGATTTGAGTTAAAAAGAGGTCAAAGATTAATAATATGGATCTTGCCGTTCCATTTTTGATATATTTTTTTACACTCTCTACTCTTATTTGTAAAGGGAATATATAGAGTACCGTAAAATGTTCCTACTTTGCTCCTATATTATGCTCCAATTCTCTAAAATGTTTTATCACTTTATATGTCCAAATCGGTGCAACACTTCATTTAACTGTGAATGTACCCGAAATATCTTCCTTATAAGTGACAACACTGAACTATAAAAATTTTCATCCGTAATTTTTTTCATAAGTCAGGTGCAGCTGTAGTGCAAGACCTTAAAAGTTTTTTTTTGTATCCGAAAAATCTACTTCTATCTTGAAATCTGCGTAATGCATTAGGGTAATTATGTTTTAATGTTGATTAATTATATAATCAGGTAAACGAATACGTAAATATTTCATTGGATTGCATTTCAGGTAACTTTGCGCCTGGAGCAAACTAAACCAAACATAAGCCGTTCAAAAGAAAACATTTTTTATTCATTGTAAGTGGTTATTAAGACACTTTTTATCAAGGAAATTACAAAAATAACTAAAGAAGTATATATGTCTCTTTAATGAAGAAGTCGCTAAAATCCTGGCGTGGCCTAAACCCTTCGATGAAATTCAATTCGATTGGCAGGATATATTGGGATGTATTGACGTCCCTTAAAAAATTAGTACCCGCTGTGAAATATATTCCGTTCCTGAACTGACCGCTTGGAGGGTTATTTTATTATTATATTTTTTAAAGTTTTAATTTTTGAGAAGTTTATATCTCGTTAGTTTATTTTCGACTGATTTTTGTCCAGCATTTGTAACCAAATTTCTTTTTAAGATAGCAGTGCCTATTATAATTTAAGAATATAAAAAACCAATGAAACAAAGTAATTTAGTAACTGAACAGGACCCATTGTCTCTACAACAAAAGGCAGGAAAAATATGTCTCAACCACATCCCGGTACTTGCGCCTTTTATTACACTCAGCTGTTATAGCAGCTGCACATATTTGCTGCAGCAGATTGCACATATTTGTTTTTAAATAACAGAAATAATTCCTGATGAACTCAGACGTAAACTGATAGCTCAAAACAGGTTTCGGTTTTAATTTGATGAAAGTACTACAGACACTAGATGCTTTGCATTTGCATTTATTATGGTGTATAGTTTAATCATTTATTTGGGAAAATTCTCATTAAACACTATTACACCCGATAGTTTATTTGGGTATGAAAATCTGAACAGTAACTTATGTCCATGACAAATGACTAAGCCGTCTTTACCATAGTCATTAATTCAACCTTGTAAATATACTGTTTTTTATGTGTAACATCTTTCGTCTCGCTTTCCTGCAATTTTTGGGAGTGATTTCGTGAAATGTGACGGAAGTGTGTAACTGGAAGTCGCGAAGGCACGCGCTACTGATTTGATTGTAGAACATAATGTTCAAATGGCTTATTACTTTTATAATAAGTTTTATTTCTTTTTTTACTAATATAAGGTGAGGTTTCAAATGTTACACATCATACGCGATTACTATAAGGCTCGCTCGTTTTTTTTTTCATTCAAGAATCTATCCTCACTCTTATTATTAGAAAAAGCTATAAATAATAACTAAAATAAAGATTAATTTCATGGACTCAATAAATTCCCTATATAAATAATTGTAAAGGGGGTAAATAAGTGGACCAAAAAATTTACCGGCAAGATATGCATTTTTAATCTTTGACCTTTTTTTAACTCAAATCCATTGGTGGAAATTGGTCCTAACATTTTGCATACTCACTTACCTCTAGCACCCGGCACCTGAAATAATAATAAGAAAATAAAAGTAGAGGAAAAAAAAGAGTGGAGGGAGTAAAAAATGGACCGGCAAGATCTACAATATTAATCTTTGACCTGTTTTTAACTCAAATCCATTGGTGGAATTTGGTCGTAACATTTTGTATAGGTACTCACTTACCTCTTGCACCCGGTCTACAAAGGCACGGTAATATTATCTATACAGTATTGTGACTCCGCCCTGTCCTTGAAAATAAATGCCTACGACCGAGAGCTGCGTTAGCACGCGGTAGGGCCGCCCGCCTACAGTATTTTATGTAGTTTTGTTTTTAACGCGAGTGTAGGTCTCTTTTTTCATCCTAACCACTTATTTATATATTATTCCAGATATTTTGCCCGATGGAAAAACCGAAATACCTAAATATTAGAAACAAATTACGTACTAGTAGATAGGTATATAAAAAATATTCTATAAAGGTAAGACACCTTTCCAATATTTCAGGTAATTTAAAAAATGATATCTCTGGGTGTGTTATTGAAGAGTTCAAGCAACCAAAAACAGCAATTGTGCTGTTGTACGATATTGATCGTCGTTTGTTCTTTTCCATACTAAATTATGTAGGTATCTACTTAATTAAATCAAATATTTACAATACAAAACGCACGTTTAAGCACGGCTAACTGCATAAAAAACAATTCAGACCGTTCGATCGTCGTCGCGGCGCGGCGGCGCATTCGCGACTGGGTGCCCGCCGAGAGCACATCGAACTCGAGTGGCGTAGGTATGACTCGCTTTCCGACCGTTTGTATGAAGATAGAATACTGTATGATATTATTACCGTGACAAAGGTAAGGTAGAAAGACACAAAATTACATTCGAAAAAAGAACATTAATTTGTTTGAAGTGGTATTGAAAATAATCAAAATTTTTGATAACAAAACACTATCTCGAAGATAGACATCATTTTTGATTTACTGCGAGTGATAAGTAGGTAGTCCGGCAATTTTAAAACAGTAATACTGAGAGCTTTACGTATGAATATGAATTTAATATATATTTAAGTAATTAAGTAGGTTAAGGTTATTTGGAATGTAATTTTTTGTAATCATATAGTTTTTAAATATTTGTTGTTTAAATGTAAATATGTGTAAATATATAAAAAGAAATAAAAGACAAAGTTCTTAATTAATTGAAGGCATCAATTAAATCATTTAATATATAAAATTCTCGTGTCACGGCGTGCGTAATTGAACTCCTCCGAAACGGCTCGACCGATTTTCGTGAAATTTTATATGCAAATTCAGTAGGTCTGAGAATCGGACAACATCTATTTTTCAGCCCCCTAAATGTGAAGGGTGGTCCACCATTAATTTTCTTTTATGGACATTTTTTTTGTTTAAATTTTTTTATGATACATCATACAAAAATACATTGGACCCTAAATTTTCATCCTTCTACCACCCATATTTTTATGGTGGTACGAAGTTCGCTGGCTCAGCTAGTAATGTTACAATAATGTTGCACAAATGAAGTATGATGATTTCATTATTTATTTAAATATTTGCTAATCGTTAAAAAATATACGCTTCTCTAAATTTGGCCTTATTTTTTCTAAAACTGTACACTAAAATGGGAAACCAACAAATTGTAAGCACCAAAACAAATAACACAACTAATTTATAGAACGAAAATACAAAACAATTGATAGTTCACGTGAACTTTATTCATCACTTGCACGCTGAGAACTGGGATACTTCTTTAAGATAGGTAGGGCATAGCTGATTTTCCGCTCGAATTGGAGGGCTCATTGAGGGAAGTAACCTCCACCTCACAGAAGATTACTGCATAATAACACTTACTTTTGGTGATGTTGTGTTTATGTCGGTTTAAGGTTCCAGGGCTCCATGAGGTGAGAGGATTGGGTCAGAGTAGGCAACGATATTTATACATACTTGTTATTGTGGTATTTTATTGTTGTTGTTCAATTATTGACAATATCTTTTTTTATTTAAAATTGCTTTGTATTAAAATTAATGTTATTATCAATATTTCATAAGATTTATTTGCTATTTAAGTTTATATTGCATGTTGTGATTCCCTACAAAAAAATAAAGTTCCATTACAAAAGTATCTTACTATAAATGTGTAAATAAGAAATGTCTTAGTGTAACTTTGTTGGAGATCAAATGAATAAATACATTCTTAATATTATCGTTGGTTTGTATGATCGAAAATCGCTCGATTTAAGCACTTATCTTATATTGGAGTACTTATATCAAAATTTATATTTTGAAAAAGGCTTTTCCTTAAATAACAAAAAAAGAAAGGCTTATCCTACTTCGGTTTTACTACAAGTACCATAAGAAATTTAAACTTCTACCTAAGAATCCCGAAGTAAGTTGCGAAGCGACGGCCGGACGCCCTCAATTAATTTTGGCTCGTAGGTTTGTCACTAATAACAGCCCTAAATCAAACGACCGATGTTAAACATACCTCTTAAGCTCAAGCTCGGCGAATGCTCTTAATCCCTTCTCTTGAAATTGAGATTTGATTGATTGAAGCATGTAACTGCTAGATGTTTAAAACGAAAGAAAATTGGCCCGTCTGCTCCCTGGTCCGCGTGGATTTTTCTAGTAAAGTTTTCTTTCGATTTAAGTTTTCTTTCGATTTAAATTATCTAATAACAGGAACAACCTATCACTAACTTTGTATTTTTAAAAAGTAGTAAACACGAATATTCGACATTATACCGTTCGTGATTTTGATTTCGTGAAATCTCTGGTATCCCCATTTCTCTGCGGCATATAAGTGATCTACTTTTTTTATCAAAATCCTATTTGAATTATTTCAGGTGGGTTCGTCTTAACGAGATGAAGATTTGGGACTATTCCCCGACTTGCGCATCCCCATGGTTTCTGGAAGGTCACTTTCTAAGGAAACTGAAGTTCCCAGAACTGTGCGCTGGACAATGGGCAAGTATGGTGAACCTGTCACCGCGGCTGCCCATCCAGCAGTTGTTAGCACTCAACGTATCTGTGAACAGGAAACCTCAAGATAGCATGGAACAAAATCATGATGTCACTACTGTCGACACGTGGCATTAATTTAGAAGACCAGTATTTTAATGTAATCAATTATGTTTAAAAACTAATAAATATCACTACAACTAACCTCAGTTCTCTGTTCATCTTAGTTTTTGTTTTTAGGAAAAGCTATCTTATTTGAACGGATAGTAAAACCAAAAAGTGAAATGTTTAAAACTTTTATAGTTTACCTATATGTCTCATTATCTTATGAAACATTTATTTCGGTAGTGAGAAGAAAATTTTACTTCTTCTTTCATCATTGATTTGTGGATATTGGTGGAGGTTGCACACTTAACTTATTAATATTTACATCATTTTAAGTAACATGTAGTGTATAACAGTTGTATGTTCCCAAATGTTAAAAATAAAAAAACAATAATTGTATTGTATTGGTAACTCCTTAATAATATCTACTAGGAAAATTTGTACATTAATATCATTATCATCTAAAATAAAACTCAATAAACAGGTAAACTAAAGGTTCCAGATGTCCAAAATAAGCACTTTTAGATTAATAGAATATAAATTCTCTTATATTGCCACATTTCTGGGTTTTCGCTCAATAGGGTAGTGCTTTATTTGTATCACTATTTTTACTCAGTAAACAGGCCGCAATCATTTCATGTATCTTAAGCCCCGATTGCAACCTATTGTTAACATAGGATATTTTCCACAATTATTACTATTTAAGAGAGAAAACACATAAATATTTTTTCGCTTAAATCGAACCATCATTTAGGTAAAGTAAACTTCGCTTTATAGAAGACCAATGTTTAATAACACTACCTTTTGGCAGTGTTCTGTTTTTCTTGGTAAGTAAGATTTCCAAGACTGCACTGACTGCAATGAAGTCAGCTTTTTAGTCTAAGACTATGGTAACCGCTTGCCATCACAGTCCAGCAGTCCACAGTTAATAGAATTCCTTGTCAATATCTATCAGATTTTTATTATTGCTAACAAAATCTTTGTACTCTGGCCAAATGATTTAAAGACTACCAAAATTGTAAAATGGCTTACCAAATATTAATTATTTGTTTTAAAATAATATATTTCGAGCATTTCTGATTATTTTTTGCATTATACACCGTGATTTTGAGTTACCTGAGAAAATTTAGTAGCGAATTCAGATAACGATTTAGGTTACATTTCCGCAAAAAATCTACAAAATGAAGAGTAACCCACATATCTGGTTACATATAGGAAATATTTCTTCCACTTTCTTTATTGTTATCGTTATCAAAAGTATTTGATTAAGAAACAGCAATTATAGGTACATATGACATGACGTATGAAAAGAATCGGCAGTGATAAGACTTTGCATCTTATCACTGATAATATAAGATTAATCAGTAATTCAGTGATTTGAAGTAGGCAATTTCATGAAATACTAATTAAATTATATTTTCCTTCTCAGGTTACTAGCTTTTAGGTCAAATTTGAAGCCGGAATAACTTACTTTTTCATTATTCCCCAATACAACAAGTATTACATATAGTATATAGTATATAGTATTACATATATATTATATATATTTATATTTATATATATTACCACATACAATTTTAATTTCATAAGGCAAATTTTTAACTGAATGTGTATTTTACAAAGCGGTGCCCACGTTTTAAAACTCACGATTCACTTAAAGTGTATACTTTAAACTTGCCTAGTTTCATGACCAGCCTAAGACAGCTTTTAGACACATTTATCTATAGACAATCTCTTATTTACTGCAACATTGTTCTTCCCCGGGTAAAGTGTTATAATCAATAAGATTTGATAACGTTTTGGATCAAAAAGTACAATTTTATATAACTATAAGGTTTTATTTCGCTTTTGCTTTTTAGCAAGCCAAAAATGTTATCAGTTTCCATATTTTCTGTATTATTAAATATTTATTATCTTTATAATACGTTTGATAATAACAGTTAATGATATTTCTCTTTCTAGCTATCAATAGATATGGTAATCGACTGCCATCACCACTTTTAGTGACTCAGTTGAATTACGTTATGCGTTAATTACATACCATTGTGTTCCCGGTGGTATTTCGTAAAAAATCGGAATTGTGCAATAGTGGATGTGAAAAAGTGGCCTTATAAGAGTAAAGTTAATAATTGCTTGAAGAATAATAAACTAATTTAATCTATGTGTTGTTTCTCTTTATAAAATTGATCGACAATTATGTTTCTTGATTGCGAGTGTTATCTATATATAAATAAAAATGGGAACTAAATACAAAGATTTTCTGCTAGTGTTATTCACCATCTGTGTTTCTTTAGGCATCAGTAATGGTAAGTTTGTTTTGATGTTCAGCATATATGCAGATTCTGTGGAAAATAAATAAACATAATGTTAAAAAAAAATTACTTCCTTAGATTGTACCTAAATCCTTAGATAAATGATTGCTCCTTGCGGGCGACGGGGGACCAATAATTTATCTAAGCCTAAATCGTATTTTGCAAAACTATTGCAGGCTGTCAAATGGAAGATGTCAACAATTGGTTTTTGTGGCAAAACGTTGAGATACTAGATATATTTGAGGGAGTTGTAGTTAGAAGAAGCACTTCCGATATTTTAGGTATAGTATATATTTTTATATAAAATATGAAAGCCAAGGCAAATTCCAACATCAACTCAGTTCAATTTATATTTCCGACGTGAAATTTAATAATTTCATTAAAAAACTAACTGGATTTTTTTTTGCTTAAATATTTTTCTCTAGCTGATTGGTCATTATTGTTGCAAAATAAAAGTTTTATCATTAAAATTGTGGCAGCTTATATCCGTAAAATTTTCAGGGATAGCAAGTGTATCTTTTTCTCCGAACATTGGACCATATATGGATGTCTCATTAACGGAGTCCGCGTTTGTGATCCAAACCAACGAAAGGTTTAAAACGTATGAGGAATATGAGACTGCAAGATCAATTAATATTGCTACAACGTTCAACTGCGTTGGAGGCTCCACAAGATCTTTGGTAGGTATCAATTGTACTTATCATTTTATACGGTACAATTGGAAATTGGGTCTTTTACGATTTACATATTAATTCCATTTTATCACCTGAGAAATGACATTTCGTTCATGGTTTGCAAAACAAGTTGATAGTTTAGTAGTTTATTCCCATAACAGATAGTCAAAACTTCACCGATAGTGTATTTTCATTGCCACCACTATAATAACATAAAATGAAAAAATAGCATGAATGAACGGAAAAATAAACTCAACGTTTCGTCGTAGCTGTATTTCAAGTAGGAAATATTGTACGATTGTAAGGGAGGGACTTGCACATAGTTTTTTTTAATGTTATTGTTTAAATTATTAAAAAAAATAACACTAATGAGGAAACATATTAGTTTAATCTGAAGATTTATTAGTTCAATACAATTTTCTTCGCAAAATGTAAGCTTTTCATTCAGGAGCAAGTGCTTTAGATTTATCACAAAAGCTTTTGCTACAGAGATATCAATCGCATACTTTCACCACGGTTTCTAAAGTTTCTCCCGCTCAGCTGACAAAGTTACAGTGTTTGTTCTAGTCGTTTGTTTTAAACATTAAGCAATTTTATGTTTCAGACGTTTTCAGTGGAAATAATCGACACAAACAATAATGACCCTATATTTAGACCGAACGATACATATCAATTCACAGTTACGCCACCGTTACCACCAGGATATGCAATAACCAGCTTACTTAGTCCTCTTATAGTGAGAGATATAGATCTTACAACTCAACAGATCGATTTCGAAATCTTCGACAATTCGAATTTTCTTATAAATTATGATGAAGTTTCTCCAGCGACACCTAAAGAATTCAGAGCATCTCTAAGAACAACAACGCTTATCAGAAGTATTCCAGAACCAATAGAATTCGTAATAAGTGCTACGGTAAATATTTAAAGGTGTAATTAGAAAGCATGATTAGATGTTTTATTTTTGACTCAAATTATAATCATTTGCGATTAATTCCAGGATGTTGATCTAACTGGTGATCCTCGACGTACCAGAAACGCCACAGTACGAATCTTAAGCGACGGCTCATTCGAATTACCTGAAGAATTAGTTTTTACGCAAAGTTTTTATCTAGCAGAATATACAGAAAACAACGAAATTCTTTTGCGAGAGCCAATTTCACTGCAACAGGGCTTTCACGGAGATGTGACATTTTCATTGATAACAGGTACGTAAATGTTTCGTTTAATAAATTATTTGGATAGATTATTGAACTTGCGATCTGGATTAAAATAATATTTTTATAGGTATAGAGGGTATAATGAGATCACACATAAAGGACAATGCCCATTTTTCTTAGGAGATCCGCACTAACTTGCATCAAACCAAATTTACTCTCAAGAGTTAAGTTTTTATCTAACTGTTTACTATCTAAAATACTTTGTCAATGTTTAACCACATTTTAGAAAAAATGACATAAGTTGGAAAATAGACACAGCAACAGACACTTCAAAGTCACTATCTCGGTAATCCACAGGAAAGTGTCACTATCTCATCACTGTCAATACTTATATTAGGCGTGGTGAATTAATTAAACGATAAAACTACCAGATCGACTCAAACGTAGCAAGAATTGTTATTCTTCGATCAAACAAACAAAACAAACATCATCACAACATGATCACAACGAAATTGACATTGACACTGACAGTTCCGTAATTAAGGATTCCAAATCGCCATGAATGCATGTTTTGAGTTTCGAATATACGCAATGTTTACTTTATAAAATGGTGAGATAAAATAAAATGATTTAAAAAATTTCATATTTTATTTTCTACTTTATAATATTATTTACTTGTACAACGGCTAGAGCTGATAAGGCGAACAAAGATTTTTATGTTCAATATTAAACCTCGGAAATAACAGACAACTTTTATCGAAACTTGCATGATTTCGGAAATGAACTTTTGATATACGGATATGTAATTGCTAATGATTTCATATCGTTTATATGAATTTTTATTATGTGGTTAAAAAATGGTTAAAAGTCAGTACATAATACACATAAATAAAACTTTATTTTTGGTGTTAATATATCTTTGAGGCAATGTGGTACGGGGTATGGGCATTGTCCTTTTGTTGAATAGACTGCAAAAAAATAATTACAATAATATGCACGTTATATTTTAGGAGAGAATTCGGAGTATTTTGAAATTGTTCCAAATGGTAATAACATCACATTACGTGTTATTAAGTCAATACCAGTTGAATTGTTGACACTACGTAAGCTCTTCTTAGTTATAAGAGCGGATAGGCAGTATACCAGCGGAACAAGTGCCACTGTAGTTGTACAGCTACCTGAGGGTATGTATTATCACTGTGGTTTATATAAAGTGTGAAAGTATTAAATAACCAATATTACGCTTACCTATGGATACCTATGTTTGTGTGAGAGATATCTCACACAAACATAGGTAAGCGAAATTGGTTATGTTGTGTACTTTATAGAACGAGTACCTACTCGTCCTAGACATTGAGTGGCTGTCGTAGTCATTGGTAAACTTCTGCCTGAATAATAATAAATAAATAAATATTTCGAACACTTACAACAATTAGCCTAGCCCAAAGTAAGCACTGTAAGGCTTGTGTTATGGGATGCTAGGGTAACGGATAGAATACGTAAACTGTACATATACATATATGTATATTTATATAGAAATACCTACATATTAAACATCCATGACTGGAGTACAAATGTTCGTATTCATCACACAAACATCTACCCCCACCGGAATTCGAACCCGGAACCTCTCGAGTCGGCAACATCATGAAACCTGGCGTACACGTTTTTAAGTTAAGATTAATATCTACATGCACATTGTCAAGGCTATTAAATGAGTCCTATTCTGAACTTAATGCAAGGAGCATTTCCTTCGAGCTATCTCTAAAAAAATAATAAATGCAGAGCAAACATCAAATGAAGTTATCGTAAACTACAGTTTACATTCAGAATCGATTGAAAAAAGTCATAATTTGATGTTTTGTTGCCAGCAAACACTTTTGCAATACATTATCTCTTTTCTTTTGTTTTAAACAGATTTGTACGGCAAACTACTTCAAGTCAACCGCGCTTTATGTAGAGTTAAAAATGAATTCAGTTCCAAATTCCAATATACTCAAGTTAAGTTTAATTTTACCTCTAGAAGTATATTTTTTTTAAATATATTGACATCACTTGCAGATGTGACACTACAGTTTGAAAAGTCCGTATATGAAGGAGCTATTATAGACAACGAATTACAACTTTCTGACCTGGTTTTATCTCAAGGCTATGAAAATCAAACTGTTTCCATCCAAATACAAAGTGGTACGTATTTATGACTGGAAGACATGGAATCAATAAAGGGTGACGTAAAATTATGGGATATGAAAGCATTAGATAGCTGGGTCAAATGTTGAAATAGTTCTACGTAGGATTTTCTTTATATAATGTGGTACGTCAGCATACAGGGCGTCCCACGGCCATGCCACACGGAGAGAAAGTATAATAAATATTGAAAGAAAACATGATTTTATTTTTAATAAATAAGTAGGTTATCAAAAATATATCTTTTTTTTTTCACATTTCACGAGTTTAATTCGCGGTTTTGGTAGGCAATTTAAAAAGCCAGTGAATGCAGTTATATTTTTTAATAAAAATAAAATGATGCCTTTTTTCAGTGAAATACCATATTTTAAGCATTTACTGCCAGATGATTATCTAAAGAAAATTTTACTAGAAAAAATGTCACGCGAACCAGGCAGCAGACGGGACTCGAACCCGCACTCTTCGCTATCTAGACGAATGCATTGACCATTATGCTACCGTGACCCTGATGGCAGTGTCAAATTTTCTTTAGCCTTTCTTAAGCTGCAAGGCAGCGCCACCTCTTCACATTGTGGGTAACCCACAATATCAAATGATTTTTTCTCTTAAAATAATCCGATCTTCAATATTTAATAGCCTTTCCCTCCATGACCATGACATGGTATGAGCGTGGGACGCCCTGTATACATTAGATCTAAAGCGCACTGTTGCTGCACGCAAATTAATTATATACAATAATAAAAATAATCACATCTTTAAGACATTTTATTATAAATATTTATAAAATATACGAGTATAAAAGACATAGTTTTAGAACGGCTTGACCGATTTCATTGATTGTTTATTATTGTCTATCGTTGTCTATCGTAAGGACAAGATTTGAAAAGAAATCGATAGAAAATTCGGAGGCGATTTGTTGTGGTACTTCGACACTTTTTTTCATTAATAAGTCGCTAGTGACTCGTTTGTATATTTTTCAACATTAAACACTACCCGGCACTGTAAATAAAAAAATATAAAAAATATCGACGTGCTACGTCGTAGTTTAAGTCGGTTATTGCACAAAGTCTCAGCAAGTATTTTATGTCACCTTGCTCATGTGACAAATATTTGAGGCATCTTTATGACTTCATATTCTTTAGTAGGTAAAAGGTCTAAAGGGATCAATAACGCAGTAACGCGAAAGTTCAGGTAAAACAAAATAATTTCCATTTTGAAAACACCTAAGAGACTTCATTTATATAATTTATGAACATACACTATGTCTAATTAAATAGAAAAATAAGTCCTACAAGAATTTTTAGATATTCACGAAAAATAAATATGACGGTACCAAGTTCAAGTTGTTATCAATAACTGATGTTCCTGACACACCAGATTTTTTGGGTGGTATAGGCTCAGTTTAATAGGGTAGGTATGTAGTAAAAGAACTTCTACTTCAATTAATTCGGTTATTTTATACATAATATAAAAAGGTAGTAAAGGCGCGTATATAACCTAGTGATTTACATTCTCTTTGATATCCGCTTTAAATTAAAAGGACGCCTGTAACCTTAAATAAAATTTCAGTTTATTAGGCTTGGTTAAATAATTGGTCTACAATACTTATTATATACAGTTAGAATATAATATCATTTTCAATACTTTTGTCAAGTACTGTTTTCTTTTTCATATTATGAAACTTGAAACAACGTCATTGGCTTTGATAATTATTTAAAAGTATTAATATTTCTTTTCATAATTGTGTTTTTATTTATTTTACAGAATTCGCTTCATTCTTCACTTATAAAATATATGAAAATAATATAACGCTGTCGATGTCAACACTTGATGCGACCACAATTATTGAAAATGCTTTTTTGAATTTACAAATTATTGCTTCCACAAACCGTAGCGTAGCATCAACTGTGATAACGTTAGAAATTATAAAAAATGACAAAACCACGCCAATGTTTGAACATACAACATATATTGGTAAATACGATCCCGTCGATGGTTTGACTTTAGAGAAAATAGTTATCGTTCAAGGCTATGATGACACTGTCGAAGTAAAGCTGGCTCAATCTGGTAAGATTCTGCACTATTTTTTAATGATTTGCTAGTTCTAGTTGCAACACAATGCAAAAGGTATTGCATTAAACTAAAAAAAAGAAAACCCTGGACGTAAAATTGACTACCAAATGATTTTTACCAAATCCACTGTAAACAACAGCGCTGTTGTAATAAATGTGAAAAATCACATCTGTAAAAACTAAAGGAAGTAAACGAATTGACAAATGAACTGATTCTCAAATTTCAGTTCAGCATTTAACCATTCAAAGAAAATCCATTGTACAGTTAGACAAACTACAAAAATTTGATCCAGTTTGCAGCTAGTAACTGTCACCAATATTGGAGATACCTGTTCAAAAACCTTTCTTACACGGTTTATATTTCTAGTTATAGAAACTGTGCGTGGTCTTCTCTGAATCTTTTTAAAATCAGTCTCTTCCGTATTTTGATAACGTTTATTATTTTGTATAGACCTTTTCTTCTTGCTTCCTCTTGAATAAAATGCCGTGCTGTCTCAGATTTCCCATGACACACATAGTATTGAATAACTCTTTTTAGAACAAATTTATTGGGCTCGCTTTAGTTTGAAAAAAAAATTGAAAACCCGCATATGTTATCTATGGTTACTATGACGACCATTTATTTATTTTTAAAAACCGTTTTCGTGGCCAGTTTGATTTTGAGAAAAGTCTCTTTACTTCTGGGACACCCTTCACTTCATTAAATATTTATTAATATCAAACTTAATATAACAATAAATCTCGTAAGATGAAACTCTTGCGTTTGTCGATAAAACTCAACACATGCTTGCAATTCAAGATTCATACTAATATTTCAAATGTGAAAGTTATTCTTTCGGTACATTGCTGTACCCGTTATACATACTTTCACCCCTTAATTGTTCTACAGATTTTGATATATTTTTGTAATGAAAATAAAGAGCTCCTTGGGAAAGTTCTCCTTTACCTCTTTTTAGCACGAAAAGAAAACTTGAAGATATTGAAATGAGGATCTATTGATATTTATTTTAATCACTTAACTGCTAGATGTTAATGTTGTTGAATCAATATTATCTAATTTCACTTAATTGGCGATTTTTAATGAAAAAATACTTTAGAACTAAATGATTAAATAAACTTGCATATTTATATTTAGATTATATTAATTTTCATTATTTTTATGTTATCGTACCGTAAATCGATTTTCTGTATATTTTAACAATACTGTTTTTTACAATTTGTTTTTTTACATTTTAGATCACGCACAGTACTTTAGTATTGTTCCAAATGGACCATACTTTGAATTGATAGCATCCAATCTACCACCAGAAATCTACTCTGAAGGTCCCCTACTACTAACAATAGTAGCATCAAAACCTAGGACCGTTGGCGCTAACGCTGCCATCTCAATAATCTTACCAACAGGTAATGTTTAATATTTATTTTAAGATGGCAATAAATATCTACAATAAGTTTATTACTAAATTCTAGCTCTCTTATAACACGTTGACAGTGGAAAAGCAAAATCGTTTAAACACCACTTTAGTAACTGTAAAAAAAAAGGTTCAAAGTTTTTTATTTATAAACAAAAATAACATAGCTCTGAGAATGAGAAATAGCACGAAGAAAATATAAAAGTAATCATTTTTCTAAATATCCTTCTATTAAAAAGTTACACAGTGCCCTTACTTTACGAATTAGATGTCGCTTAATCGAAAACAACCAGCCCATCTGAAACTGCGTACAGATATAGCGTTCCAGGACACACGTAGCTAACTACGCGTGTCCTTGAACGTGCTATTCATACTCATGCGCTGGTCCTTGCCGGTAACCGGCGCAAGCATTTCTATGGACCAGCGCCGATAAGCGCCGACAAGTGCCGACAAGCGCTGCACAGCGCTGGCATCGCCCTTTGAAATTAATGAACAACTACGCTTCAATCTGCTTCCTCTATGTTACTGTTACCAGTAAGGACCAGCGCCGACAAGCGCTGGTCGGCTTCCAGCTTTCTTTCTGTATACGGCCTCAAAGTAACTCGTGAAGGGTACGTATGTTCTGGAACGCGCTATCCATACTCATAGCCCATTACAGTGCTATTCCTACTCATGGTAACGTGTGAAGGGTACGCGTAGCTACAAGTAATTATGATAGCTACAAGTATGTATGACATAGCGTGCTAGACAACACGGTATCGGTAAGCAGATTCATATTTCGTGTCAAACAAAAATTGTATGGCGTAAACGAAGTTGATTCCGAATAACCACCAACATTTACGTTGATTTAGCGCTATGAAAAATAACATAAAATGTTGACGTTTCAGCGCCAAAATTTGCTCGAATATTTGGAAACAAACAGATCGACGCAGAAAAAACTGATTACAATGATATACTTAATATTATACATAGATATATTTTTTGGATCAAAACAGAAATTTAAAAATGATTAGAGATTGACACTTTACCAACGTCCCCCCCGTCCCCCGTCCCCAAATAAATAAATAACAAGTACCCTTGTAATTTTTAATTTTTAGATATATATACATATTTATTATTTATTTAATGCATATTTTTATTTCATTTTGGTTGATTGCAGATACATGAATGTTTATTAGACTCGTACCCAATTAGTGACTTTTCTCTGGTAAAATCGAGTTTTAATTCCTTTCGCCCGCTTTGTTTCATCACTTAGGATTGAAGACTATTTCATCAATGTTTTTTTCTTTCTTTTTATGTTTTCTTTTTGGTAACTAAGGATTACTTATGTTATTCCAGCTGTGTACATTTTTGCTGGCCTTTGGCTGTTTAATGTACCTTTATAAATGAAATAAAAATAAAATGAAATAAAATTCATACTCGATCAAGTGGCGTTTGAGCTATTATGCTATTCCACTGTCGATGTTTATTATATGGTACTTATATGAAAATATATTAATGATTAATATACACCTTCTTGTCAAATTATACAAACAAAAATCTGAAAACATTCCGATCATTAATACAGAAATTAGTAAAATTAAGAATATAAATATAGAAAATATAAATTTGTTCAGAATACTTTATGTCAATACTTTCAATCAGCTTTGACGCATAATTATTGAATATACTTATAATTATGATGATATCCGACTCAACGTAACCCGGTGAATATGCGTGTAGTTCTTGTGGCGTGGAGTTAAAGTCCCTCCGATTCCGTCGGCCTAAGGACGTCTTAGAAAACGCCAACGACAACACGCTATACCAGGTACAAATACGTACCTGGGCGTTTTGCCCCGCCCCCACGACAAAGGCTAACTAGAGCTCACGTCCGAGTCTCAGAGACGCCCTCTAGTTTAGCTGACTCCCTCAGGTTCGAGTGGTCTAGTGGCTCCAGACGGAAAATTCTACGCGGATGGTATCTCCTCAAAGGGGCATGGGGAGATGCCATCCGCCAGGTCCCCTTAGGATCTCGCCGTCCTCAAACCCGGTGACGCTGTAAAGGTCGTCTGCGACCAGCATACAACCTCAAAAAAAAACTTATAAGTTATTGTCTTTCATTTGGCCCTGCATTATGTTATTTTTAACCGACTTCAAAAAGGAAGGGGTTCTTAAATCATCAGTATATTTGTTTTTTTTTTTATTGTTATTTACGCATATATTCTGCGTGGACCATTTGTCATGATAATTTTTCTTAATCGTCTAACATAGGTAACTATCTAATATTTAATTTTCAACTTCTTTATTTTAATTATTTGTTCTTTACAGCCACAAATTTAAGTTTTTTACAGGAAAATTATAGAGGAATTATCCAAGAGAATAATTTGCGAATCGAAACCATTAAAATGAGTAAATACGTGACTAATGTACTACTCGATCTTACTGGAGGTAAGTGCATTTTCAACATGCAATACTGACAAATTACATAGCACAACTTATTTTGTATATGTATAGAAATATCTATTGAAATTTAAACAATAACAACGGCGGTGGAAACGGCTCCCTCAGACAAAAAACAACCGTTGACGCCTGCTCCGAGTCTTTTTTGGTGGAAAGATTGCCTATTACGACCCAGCGTAGCAATACTGTAAGTATAATGGGTACCTTTACGCCAGGAATGACACGGGATGGTTTAGTTGACTTAATTTGAATAATTGAATTATATTTTGAATTGTAATTGACATTTACAGAAAAGCACAATTTAATTTAAACCAATATTTTAATTACTACAATGATTTATGATACACTATAAAAACAATAAACCTTGCAGACTATGCAGACTTTTTCAAAGTAACAAGTGAAGAGGGTGAAATCACATTAGAGATACAAGATCAACTTCCAGAGAGTGCTGTATTAGAAAACGATTTTCTACTTCTTTCACTTTCTGCGACCGCAATGAATGCTAATAATGCAACCACTACTATATTACTGGAGATTATAAAAGAGGATACGACTACACCTGTATTCAACGATAAAATATATTCTGTCATTTATTCAAATTCAACAAATTACGATGTTTCAAGAATTTTCTTAACACAAGGTTACGACGAGACCGTTTCATTCCATATCACCGGTGGTAAGTAAGTTGCCTACAATTCAAGGTCAAAATTATAAAATATTATTACGTACCTACTCTACATGCGTTTATCATGACAAACAGGTAGAATAACCGAACAGTACGGTAAATACCCATGTAGTTCCTGAATTTATTGTTCAGCAAAAACTGCTAATAAGCATGGTAGTAATATATATTATATTCAACTAATTTTAAACTAATTCAGTCTCCAACAAGATATTGCTTTTATTTACCTTTATTTTTACCATTGTTCTATTCATTTCGCTCGACCAATTCACAATGGTGTGATCTGGTAGTATACTGCTCGTTAATAATGTAAGGTAAGGTCGAATGGGTCATGCAAATAAGGTCCAATAGGCACTTTTTGCTTCCGGTTAGAATCTTGAGGATCCAGAGGGTACAGACCTCATTCTATCTGTAACGCTATGGCATAGCCGCAACCGTTCTCTTTGTTCATTTCCTCCATATTTGACCTTATTAACCACCATATAACTTCATGGCCATCACTAAATTCAAAATGTTCGTTTTTGGCCGTACGCTTGGTCCGCGTGGATTTTTTTGTAGTAAACTTTTCTTTAGATTTAAACAACTAGCAGTTAAATGCTTAAAAATAAATACAAACATTCATTTATGGTTTTTATTTAGTTTGAAATCGATTCCGTCAAGGCTATCAAAAAATAATTTTACTGTCAGTCCAGCAGAAATCTCGTAAAAAGAAGAACTGTCTTGTGATATTTGAACTGGTACAATTCAAAATTTATTAAAACAATTAGTTTTCAAACCCAACTCGGGGTTTTATTTCTAGCATAAACATACCATTTCAAGCTTATTGTTTTCGAGTTATTTATCAAACCACCGCTACCAACGGCTACTGTCGTAATTGGCACCCAACGTGGAAGGTATGAAATTATATCCTTATGAAAGCAGCCCCAGCAGTGTTGATAATAAAAATTCGACGTATCATGAATTTACTCATGCGGTATCTTATTCTACGACATTAAAAACTAAGTAATATTAGTTTACTCATATTCTTGCTCTTCTTTACAACAAGTTGTTTAATCCCCGCGTTATCTTAAAAAAATATTTCATTTCCTTTACACTTCTAACACGTTATCCCTTAGAGTGCCAGAAAAATGTGTGTGTATGTATCTATCTATTTATGTAAGAGTCTAAACGTATACATAATTATACATATGTATACGTTTAGACTCTTACATAAATAGTTTGTGTATATTTTTACCTATATCATTTCAAGTGATTTACACTGCCATCTCGCCCACTTTCTTCTGATCTTCACCATTGAAAGGTGGCCTGGAAGAGATCGCTCTTAGCGATAAGGCCTCCCATTGTTACACTACATTTAAATGGTTTTGTACTTATTGTAATGTTTTTATTTTGTGTACAATAGAGTGTTTTGTATTGTAAGTTACAGTAGAATTGATAATGAAGACGATCACAATATATCGATTAAAAAACGACTGGCACAGCAGGTATAATTTTCCATTTACATTACATATTTTTTTAGAACATTCTGAATACTTTACGATAAGGCCATCAGGAAATGATGTTGAATTAACAATATCAAAAACAATCCCAGAAGAACTTATTTTTAAGGAAAAAGTTTTAGTATTTAATATTGTAGCTGAAAAACCACTTACTGTTGGCGCCAGGGCTGCTATTACTGTACATTTTCCACTTGGTAAGTTTAATTATAATACTAAAATATCTATACAAACTCTATCTACAACTACACTTTTTTAACTCAAAGAGAGTCTAGTAAACTATTTCAATTCAAAAATTAAATGATTAGATAAATTAAATTAAAATGGTTCAATTTGTATTATTAGTAAAATTGTATACCTAAATATATTTTACTTTTAGAATTGACCGAACCCATAGCGTTAGCTTTTTCAAAAACGTTTTACACTGGTTCGTTAGAAGATACTGTTTTGAGAATAGAAGATATTGAACTCAGCGTAGGTTTCACAACCAATACCATATTCACAATTAATGGAGGTAAGTAGAGCTTCATTAGAATTTTAATACATAATATTGCTGTTTCACTAAGCTGAAATTAGCCCACATACATAGGTGTTTTTATTTCTTTGGCATTTTTTTTATGTTATAGGGGGGCATACAAACAGACGGCTCACTTGATGGTAAGTGATCACCGTCGCCCATGGACACTTGCAACACTAGGAGTATCACAAATGCGATGCCGGCCTTTAAGGAAGGAGTACGCTCTTTTTTTGAAGGAGTTTGGGTTGTATTTTTTGTATAGTCAGATTATTTCATATTATTTCAAGTTTTTTACTCTGTCACGGCCTCTCTATCTGTACAGAAGCTGATGTGCACTGTTTAAATTATGCAAGATTAAATCATAAAATATGTATTAATAAAGGAAATAAAACCTCGCCAAATTTTCATAAGGATAAATTTTTCAGATATCTAAAGGTTACGTCTACGAATTAATCCAGTGTAAATATGACTTTATTGCAGAGTACAAAAATTACTTTCAAGCCTACCATGACGAAAACTTCGTAAAGATCTCACAAATCAATACTCTACCTCCTGAGATTATTGATTATAAGTATATTGCACTTGAATTAGAAGCTCAAAGAGAAAGAGCTGTTCCAGTATCAGCAATAATAATTATAGATATTGTACAACCTGAACCTATTGTACCACCAGTATTTAGTGAACCATTCTATAGAGCAGTATATACCGAAGAAACAGGTCTTGATTTTAAAGAAAACATATCCTTATCACAGGGTTTTGATGATACTGTTATCTTTGAACTGGAAGGAGGTAAGGCATATGCACTTAACTAGTTATTAAAAAATATTAAGTGACATGAACTTTTGGTATAAGCGCATATTTATTTACAGAATACAAGGATTGGTTTGAGGTAACCAATGATAAAAATTTGGTAATAATTTCTGTTAATGACATACCAGAAAACATCTTGGATACAAATCATCATTTGGTGTTTTCTGTGATTGCTCGTAAAGTTGGTGTAAATAACGTTATTGATGGTCGTGCTGCTATAGTTATAGATTTACCTAAAGGTATGACAAGTAAACTTTCTAGATTAGATAGGTACTTCATATTTGAGGAGCTAGCATAGAAAACGGTATAATTACATGAAATTAAATTTTACAGGAGCTGTATAAAACTAAATGACATATCTTCAGCGAGCTTTTGGCGTGGTTTTTAATTTATAAATTTAGTAAGTTTATTAACACTGTTTTAGGCAGTTGTGATTGAAAAAAAAATTGATATTCAAATTCAATAGGCCCGAAACCTCCGGACTGTAAAAAAATTGTTTGACCAGATGCGTAATTATACCGTTTTGTTCTGTAGCTCCTCATTTTATATATTATGAAACTTAAAGAATCCAAAACAATTTATTGTGAGTCAATCATAAGATTATGTAGCTACTTTATTTTTTATTTTTCTTCCATGAGTAGTAATAACAAAATGTCTCAAGCAAATACTTTTTTAAAATGATATAAAAAAACTAATAGTACAGAACGTTTAAAAATTACAGTTAAATGTTTATTGACAGAATCACCAGAACTGGTGTTACTACGCTTCACTCAACCAAGCTATGTTGGTTCCATTCAAAATAATATACTCAATTTGCCACCAGTAACTCTAGCAGGGATATATGATATGGCAATTGCATTAAACACGACAGGCGGTAAGGGAACACAGCTACAAATAAAAAAAAATACTCGTATAATTTTTGTATGCTAATAAATTTATAAATGTTTCAGAATACTCATCATACTTTAAACTTACGTTGGAATCAAATGTCGTCAATGTTGAATTGATTTCTGATCTACCATCAGAAATTATTGATACCATCATAACAATCACTATAGAAGCTTCCTATCCAGGAGCTGTATCTGGATTTACCACTTTAGTTATTGCACTAGAAAAAGAACCTGAAATACAATTCACAACACCTGTATTTGAGCGAGCTTATTACTTTGGCGAATATTTACATCGCGATCAATTAGTGTTTGAGAATACAATACAGTTAATTCAGGGCTTTGACAATACTGTTTCATTTACACTAGAAGGTGGTAAGTAAATTGGCGCAAATGCCCAATAATTTAAATCCTTTTTGCATAAAAATTTAAATATGCAACAAGCAATATTTATTATTTATTATACACTTGATCATCGTTGAATCGAATATTTTACCGGCGACTAAGAAACATGTTTATGATCTGTTAGGAAGACATATAAAATTAAATTAAATTTTTGATCTTGCTCACGGACCTGAAAAAAAGACGGACGTAACCTTGTCTTATCTCGAGTGAAGCATGCAAATGGCCGCCCGCTTACAGCGTGTGTGTGATTTGAGGGTTGTCGGGTAAATCATCAATTTCCCTACTTTTTAAATCTCCCAATCTAAAACATTGTTAACATTATGTAATCAAATATATATTATAAAAACGGGATATTTACCACGTGTTTTACTCATTGTGAGCTCCTGATTTTTCAGCAATTGAAACGGTCTATCAAATTATTTTTTAGGAACACCGAGATAGAAAAGAAAGCACTTGTTATGTAAAAAGAACTTTATTGTTTACATATAAATGTTAGTGTCTTAATATTATGTATGAGGTTAATAACATACATTAATATACATAAATCGCGCAGATTAATGCTTAAAATAAAAATATAATAGACTAATATTGCTATTACTTCTTTCAAATGTAAGTATTTCATTCATAGATTGAGTAGGTATTTAAAGACTGACAGAGTGAGGAAAATAGATATCATGCCAATCCTATAACGTAGAAAGAGACGCAACATGATGTACCTTTCGTCTAATAATATACTTTTTGCAAGAGCCGCAGCGCCCTGTCAAGTCGTACTAAGATAAAATTTATTATGAAATTCTGTGAAACTAAGAAAACAATAATGCAAATAATAATAAATAAATAAATAAATATAACACAACACAAATCTGCTTATTACAAACTGAATAAGTATGTGTTATGGTATCCTGTGTTTTAAGCATATCTTGATAAATCGACACTATCACTCAGAATCAAACACCGATACGCACACATGCACAGATATTTTTTTGGAACAGTAGCGATAGGTACTCTGTCTATCTTTACATCCTATATCTATGGTTTCATTTGACATCGTAGTTTACCTACAATGCGAAGAAATGGCACTACCGTGCAGCCTAAGAAATACAAGAAGAAATTTGTCACGATCATTAAGTTCTCGGTAGCATAGCAATTAGTGCATCCACCCAGACAGCAGAAAATGCAAGTTCAAGTCCTGCCTGTAATTCATTTTGTAATAATTTTGGTTATCGTAATTTAGTTTCAAAAGTTTATTTGTATAGTAGTTCTGTTAACGGGTTTCAACTGTATCTATATATATAAAACTCAAAGGTGACTGACTGACTGACATAGTGATCTATCAACGCACAGCCCAAACCACTGGACAGATCGGGCTGAAATTTAGCATGCAAGTAGATGTTATGACGTAGGCATCCGCTAAGAAAGGATTTTGATCAATTCTACCCCCAAGGGAATAAAATAGGGAATGAAAGTTTGTATGGAACTTTGTCAATTTTAAACCGATCGGGCTGAGACTTTGCATGCAGGTATAAGAAAAATCGTAAATGAATGTCATTGTATACAATACAACAATTCAGCTCTACACCGAAGCGAAGCGAGGGCGGACCGCTGGTTTTTAATATTTCTTCTTAACAGGCTCCGGTTTGAACGAAAACCAAACAACGTGTGCACTGCACACAGGTGTTATCTCCTTTGTAGTATCGAATAATTAAAACCCAGTCATCTCTATGGTTTCTATTTCTAGGAAACCTATTAGAAAGAAGACAAGACAATAATTTATATAAAATATTCTATGAATAATATGGCTTCTTTTCTTTTCCTTTTGGGATACGGAACCCTAAAAATTTACGAAATCTTATCTTGCCTAGTCACAAATGCAAGAAATACACATTTCCCTACTTTTAGGGAAAATTTCCCGTAAATAAAGTAGCCACACAGTTGTATTTTTGTTTACAATTTTCATCCTTGTAAATAAAATATAATATAAAAAAAATATCAAGAATCGTCAATACTTAAGCATAGTAGATGATTCCTTGTGACTTTTCATATTTACTCGTGTAGTTTTTAAAAGATTTCACCACACAAGACGGCTTTTTTTTTTAAATATATCGGAGCAATTGAACGTGTGACTGGCGCTGTCACGCGAGTTCAAATGGCAGCGGATTGTCCGACCTGGTACATTAGTGTGAGTGTAGGTAGTGTACAACACACGATTTTGTCTGACCTACATGTCATTGTCATGCTTCACAAGATTTGCCTTTGATATTACGTCCGTCTTTTTTTCAGGTCCGTGATCTTGCTTTGTAAAATAACTGTATTTTGTCAAGTTTGAATTAATAAAGTAATAATTCCATGGTACCTAACACAAACCTAATACAACAAAGAAAATGGTTAACTCAATGATAATAAACATAGTACGCGATATAAGGGTTTTTATTTTGGTATTTTTTCACACATTGGCTTGTATTATCGAAATTTTAATACTGATCTCTAACTATTTTCAAAGTATTCAATAGCCTATGTTCATCAGGTTGCATGTGGAATTCTAAATGTGAAAGAATTTCCTAAATCGGTCCAGTAGTTTCGGAGCCTATTCAATACAAACAAACAATTAAAAATTTTCTCTTACTAGATAGATATAATCAGTATTTAAAGAAAACAACAAATGCTTACATTTAAAAAAATATTGCTTAATATTTCATTTAAGTATGTTCAATAGCCCTTACCCACTTTTATTAACTTGCAGACGATTCAAAATACTTCAAATTGATTTTTAACAGCCAAAACAATATCACCTTATCTGTCACGGATGATTCTATTGATGAAGTAAATGATCGAACTCATTTGTTATTCTCTATAATAGCAAAAAATATGGGAACTGTTAATGGAAAAGCAGCTATTGTAATAACGCTTCCAGGTAATAACGCCAAGCTTATTTTATTTATTATAAATTATATCTACTCCTATCAATCTCAATAACATTCTCCCCCAATTTTGAGCAAATACAACATATGTACTTACAATTGTTTTATGAACGTGTAACGTGAGAATATTGTGTGCTGTGAATGAAAATTTCGGTATATGTATGAGTGATGATAATGTACTAATTTATATTAATTTTTAAAATACTTAAATTTATGATTATTGATAAGAAAAAAATCTCATCACATGGCTATATAAATCTGTAAATTTGTGAATATTTATAATGTGTAATAATGTACTTAATAAAAGACTGGTATGAAAAGTGTGCAAACCATCCATATTAAAATTATGGAGCAAAGCAAAGGCTAGGTACTAAATAATACAAATTAATATTTTGCTTGAGAAATTACAGTGGAAATTACGTGCTCTCTCTCTCTCTCCATGCGTGAGTCCATGGACACAGATAGTAGAGAAAGTTGTTTTATAACGACCTAGAAACTTGAAAATTAATTGATATCTTTAAGTGCAGCCGTTACAGTGCAGTAAGTTACTCAAAATAAGAATTGAATGCGACAATAGAATTAAAGTTTAAAAAAGCAAAGGTAAAACACACTACGGTGAAGTCATTAAATGTCTCATAAACAGTATGGTAGTACGATACGAAGTAACTCCGTGATCCTGGCGCTTGCAGCAGTGCCGAAATATAGGAGACTCGTAAAAAACAAGGAACATGTTAACAATCCCATTAATCGCTATAATTGGTAAAAAATGTAAAAAGGAAACTTAAAAAAAACATTTTCGCTATCATGTATTCAGCTATGACAAGTACTACAAGTCGAAAAACTCATTCTCCACGGTTCTGTCAGTTCCCAAAACCTCGATCGAAGAAGCCCCGACAAATTTCCATAACATTATAATAATTTGGTATACTATAATAATTATTGTACCAAATTATATACAATTTAAGTAATAATATAATATTGATTTGTACGCAAAGATTTGAAATGACCTGTCAAACAGTTGGAGCAGATAAATAAACGATTACAGCTAAATTCGGTGATTTTTATTTATTTATGCAGCAAAGGACATTGGGAAATTTACTTAGACGGATATGAATTCTATATTATTTAAAAGCTTTAGACCTCTACATATGTTGAATGCATTATTGAGACTCACGGGAATATTGAAATATAACTCAAACAAACTCAAGTAAAGTCGCGTTCGCGCGCGTGCTATAAACTTTTTTTATCATTACTTTTGTAAGAGTAGTTCGATGGCGCAGGTGGATAGTGTTTTCGGCCTGCTTCAGCAGTGCGGACATTAATAGGCTGGTGATGATGATTATTATTTTTGTATCCTCCTAGGCAAGTCTAGGGTATCCATGAGGATTTCACGGGGGGGTATGCCGGCTGCCTGCTGCCAGGTCATGTCAGAAACTTATTGACTAAAATTCACCCGTGGTTACGTCTTTGGCCATAAGGACCTCACAAGCTTCGCTGATACAAATATAATCTCATGTTCACGAATTCCCATAGGTTACAGAAATAAAAATTACACAGGAATAAAGTAGATAATTATATCTATTCTTTGAAATAGGTTTCGTTTGTGTCTGCTACTTTTCGATAAGCGGGACAAAATGTTCCCAATGTCTTTTTCAAAATTCAGATTCAAATAAAACTAGCTTCAAACCTTAAGAAAATGTCAAAACGGCAATATCAGTTTGAAATTATTGTATGGACAAATCTAGCTTTAGTTAAATTGAGATTTGGCAAAGTTTAATCACACTAATATTATAAAGGTGAAAGTTTGTGAGTGTGTGAGTATGTGAGTGTGTATGTTTGTTACTTCTTCACATCTAAACGGCTGGAGTGATTTTAATAAAATTTGGTATGGAGTTAGCTAACACCTTAGAATAACACATAGGCTACTTTTATCCCGAAAAAATGTTAGGTTCCAGACGGATTTTCAAGAAACTATGTTAACGCAGACGAAGTCGCGGGCGACCTCTAGTATTATAGTAAACAGCAGACAAACTTTCACTGAAAGTAACATTTCACGAGCATGACGCATGAAATAGTCAATCCTCATTTCATTTTATATTTTAAGGAACGTAACGACCTGTATCACTGGCCTCTAGCGCAAGACGTAATACTAATGTTAAATTAGAACTAGTAACATAACCGCCTTACTAAACTGCCTAAACTTGCATAAAATAAGGGATATTTGCCTGCCACTACCATTCCTACCATGGAAAAGCCCACTATATATTTTACGACCTCCGTGAACGAGTGATTCTACGCCGGGTTTCAAGGTGTCGCCGACTCGAGAGGTCCCGGGTTCGAATCCCGGTGGGGGCAGATGTTTGTGCGATGAATATGAGCATTTGCACTCCAGTCATTGAAGTTTATTATGTGTTTCTATATATAATATATGTACAGTATATGTATTCTATCCATTACCATAGTATCCCATAACACAAGCCTTACAGTGCTTACTTTAGGGCTAGGCTAATTGATGCGAGTGTTGGAAATACACACATCAAAAGTGTCTAGGGATCAACATATATTTTTGCAATAACTTTTCTCCTGATTGATATTAATTAAAATTTTCTTTAAGGATTCATCAAATAAAGTGTTTTCGTTTGTCACAGTAACGATAAACCAAGTCACCTTTGCATTAATAAAGAAATTTGCCATTTTCCTAATAAAGGGATTTTTGACATTTGAACCACTAACACAAAAGTTCGAAAAAAAGACTGAAATAACAGTTTTCTCTAAAATTTTATTGGGTAACTTAAACAATTAATAATCCGTATTTCTACCGCGAACACTAACAAAACAAGAACATCGGTTTGGCATACTCAAAATGAGTTCATCCAAATCACGCTGTGGAATGGCCGCCCATGTTCGTTGCAACAACAAAAAAAGGTCTTCTTGCGACTGGATACCCTCCATATTCGGCAGAGCTCTTCTCTGTAGCATATCCCATGCATGCTCAATCGGGTTCAAGTCTGGCGACTGAGCAGGCCAGGGCAGGACATTGATGTTAGCTGCGGCGAGAGTCTGTCTTACAACTCTTGCGGTGTGCGGTCGTGCATTATCATGCATTAACTGAAATAAGGGACCGATTTGCACTTGTAGAGGAACGATGACGTCTGATACAATCGTCTCAGCATAAATTTGAGCGTTGAGGTTGCCTCTGATCCAAATCAACTCAGTTCTTCCGCCGATCCAAATACCCGCCCATACCATGATGGTTCCACCACTATAAGGATGGACTTCCTGGCAGGATTTTAATCGCTGTTGGCGTCCAGGGGTTCTCCAGTGTCGTATACGTCTTGTATCCGGTCTCATACCAAAACGAGACTCATCAGAAAAGCACACGAAACGCCATTGTTCTTCTGCCCAATTTCTGTGTTCAAGAGCCCATTGATATCGAATCCTACGATTGTGCATTGCTATAGGTGGTACCCGTAGCGGTCTTCGGGAATGAAGGTTCACTTCATGCAAGCGGTTTCTGACTGTTTGGTCGCTAATTAAGTTCCCTGAAGAGTGATGAAGCCTCACGGCTAACATCATGGCGGTTATTGTTGGAGCTCTTCGAGTTAAGATTTGAATGTATCGGTCTTGTCTCCGTGTGGTGCAGCGATACCGTCCTCCATGGCGCTCAGCCACGGTACCAGTGCTTCGGTATCGTGTCCAAAGTCGACTGATAACACTCTGACTTGTATTCAGAGCTAAAGCCACAGTACGTTGCCGGGAACCAGCTTCTATCATTCCCACGGCTCTGAGCATTTCTTCCCTGCTTAAATGACGTCGCCGCTCCATAATAACGTTGGTTTTAATCAGTAGTAGGGAAACAGTAGCACTAATAATGTCTTCAATGCGTTGTATGTTTTTATAGGGAAAATATTGACAGCTGATTTTCATCTTTTACTCGAATTTGATTCACAGTTCCTGATTCAAATTATGAAATGCACCAAAAAGGATCCATATAAATTTATAAAATCATAAATTTATTACAAAGCCACATCTCAATCTCAAGAAATCCGCATAAAAATGCTTGATCCCTAGACACTTTTGATGTGTGTATTTATATATTAGAACATAACATAAATATTGTTAAACATTATGAAGTCTGAACCGTAGCAATACAAGTGTCTTTTCTTTGTTTCCCCGGTGTCGTAAACTAAATTTCAAAATCTATTCAGAAAAATTACGAACTGTACCGATAATTAAACTTCATTAAAATCAGGAAAACACATGAACTAAACTCCTTGAAATTGCAGATATAAACACAGGCAGAGTACTCAGCTTTGAGCGAAATTATTATGTGGGATTGTTAAACGGTACTAATGTCAATCTGCCTCAGATAGTGCTCAACGAGGGATTCTCGTCGGACGTTCGATTCTCATTAGTAGGCGGTAAGTGATTTACCCATACTTTAACTGTTTACTCCGATGTGATGTGACAAATAGAAGATAAAATTCTATTTATGCTTTCCAGAGCTCGCACCCTTCTTTATGCTGCAAGACAACCTCGCTACCCTCACATTATCCCTGGCGAATGCCATCCCTGAAGATTTGATACCTGCCAACGGCATTATAATAATTCAGGTAGAAGCGACAGCACCGCAAGTCCTACCAGCGTACACCTCAATAATTTTGGAAGTGACGATGCGTAAAGAAGACCCACCGACAGCTATCGAATTTGAAGAAACGCACTATGTCGGAAACTTCACTACGACTGAAGGCCTTATATTCGACAGAATCATAACTCTAGCAGAGGGCTACGATGAAAGCGTTGAATTCGATCTCGAAGGAGGTTTGCTAGCTACAATATTTTAATCTCTCTCAATTCGAAATAAATTATACGGCAGCATATTTCAGCAACGGTGTGTCTTTTCTAACTTTCAGAAAACGCTCAGTGGTTTGCACTCGACCGGGTTGAAAACGGTGCGAGGTTAGTGCTTCAAAGCCCCATCCCGCCGGCGGTGCTAGCTAACAACCATCAGCTTTTGTTCATCGTCCGCGCTGAGAGACAGAGTGCAATCGCTCGTGCAACCATCGTAATCCTGCTCACGGACGGTAATTGGATCACGACTCTACACTAGATTACTTTCTGGGCAATAATAATGGTACCCATAGCTTAATAACCTCCAGACCTTAACAATGAAACTCTCTTTGTTTTTGCAGATGTGAGTGCAGGCCAAGTACTTGGCTTTGAGCGAAATTATTACGTGGGTTCGTTAAACGGCACTACTGTCCATCTTTCTCAGATAGTGCTGAACGAGGGATTCTCGTTGGACGTTCGATTCTCATTAGTAGGCGGTGAGTGATTTACCCAAACGTCGACTGTTTACTACGATGTGATGTGACAAATAGAAGCTAAAATTTTATTTGTGCTTTCCAGAGCTCGCACCCTTCTTCATACTGCAAGACAACCTCGCTACCCTCACAATATCCCTGGCGAATGCCATCCCTGAAGATTCGATACCTGCCAACGGCATTATAATAATTCAGGTAGAAGCGACAGCACCGCAAGTCCTACCAGCGTACACCTCAATTATCTTGGAAGTGACGATGCGTAAAGAAGACCCACCGACAGCTATCGAATTTGAAGAAACGCACTATGTCGGAAACTTCACTACGACCGAAGGCCTTATATTCGACAGAATCATAACTCTAGCAGAGGGCTACGATGAAAGCATTGAATTCGATCTCGAAGGAGGTTTGCTAGCTACAATATTTTAATCTCTCTCAATTCTAAATAAATTATACAGCAGCATATTTCAGCAACGGTGTGTCTTTTCTAACTTTCAGAAAACGCTCAGTGGTTTGCACTCGACCGGGTTGAAAACGGTGCGAGGTTAGTGCTTCAAAGCCCCATCCCGCCGGCGGTGCTAGCTAACAACCATCAGCTTTTGTTCATCGTCCGCGCTGAGAGACAGAGTGCAGTCGCTCGTGCAACCATCGTAATCCTGCTCACGGACGGTAATTGGATCACGACTCTACACTAGATTACTTTCTGGGCAATAATAATGGTACCCATAGCTTAATAACCTCCAGACCTTAACAATGAAACTCTCTTTGTTTTTGCAGATGTGAGTGCAGGCCAAGTACTTGGCTTTGAGCGAAATTATTACGTGGGTTCGTTAAACGGCACTACTGTCCATCTTTCTCAGATAGTGCTCAACGAGGGATTCTCGTCGGACGTTCGATTCTCATTAGTAGGCGGTGAGTGATTTACCCAAACGTCGACTGTTTACTACGATGTGATGTGACAAATAGAAGCTAAAATTTTATTTGTGCTTTCCAGAGCTCGCACCCTTCTTCATACTGCAAGACAACCTCGCTACCCTCACAATATCCCTGGCGAATGCCATCCCTGAAGATTCGATACCTGCCAGCGGCATTATAATAATTCAGGTAGAAGCGACAGCACCGCAAGTCCTACCAGCGTACACCTCAATTATCTTGGAAGTGACGATGCGTAAAGAAGACCCACCGACAGCTATCGAATTTGAAGAAACGCACTATGTCGGAAACTTCACTACGACCGAAGGCCTTATATTCGACAGAATCATAACTCTAGCAGAGGGCTACGATGAAAGCGTTGAATTCGATCTCGAAGGAGGTTTGCTAGCTACAATATTTTAATCTCTCTCAATTCTAAATAAATTATACGGCAGCATCTTTCAGCAACGGTGTGTCTTTTCTAACTTTCAGAAAACGCTCAGTGGTTTGCACTCGACCGGGTTGAAAACGGTGCGAGGTTAGTGCTTCAAAGCCCCATCCCGCCGGCGGTGCTAGCTAACAACCATCAGCTTTTGTTCATCGTCCGCGCTGAGAGACAGAGTGCAGTCGCTCGTGCAACCATCGTAATCCTGCTCACGGACGGTAATTGGATCACGACTCTACACTAGATTGCTTTCTGGGCTATAATAATGGTACCCATAGCTTAATAACCTCCAGACCTTAACAATGAAACTTTCTTTGTTTTTGCAGATGTGAGTGCAGGCCAAGTACTTGGCTTTGAGCGAAATTATTACGTGGGTTCGTTAAACGGCACTACTGTCCATCTTTCTCAGATAGTGCTCAACGAAGGATTCTCGTCGGACGTTCGATTCTCATTAGTAGGCGGTGAGTGATTTACCCAAACGTCGACTGTTTACTACGATGTGATGTGACAAATAGAAGCTAAAATTTTATTTGTGCTTTCCAGAGCTCGCACCCTTCTTCATACTGCAAGACAACCTCGCTACCCTCACAATATCCCTGGCGAATGCCATCCCTGAAGATTCGATACCTGCCAACGGCATTATAATAATTCAGGTAGAAGCGACAGCACCGCAAGTCCTACCAGCGTACACCTCAATTATCTTGGAAGTGACGATGCGTAAAGAAGACCCACCGACAGCTATCGAATTTGAAGAAACGCACTATGTCGGAAACTTCACTACGACCGAAGGCCTTATATTCGACAGAATCATAACTCTAGCAGAGGGCTACGATGAAAGCGTTGAATTCGATCTCGAAGGAGGTTTGCTAGCTACAATATTTTAATCTCTCTCAATTCTAAATAAATTATACAGCAGCATATTTCAGCAACGGTGTGTCTTTTCTAACTTTCAGAAAACGCTCAGTGGTTTGCACTCGACCGGGTTGAAAACGGTGCGAGGTTAGTGCTTCAAAGCCCCATCCCGCCGGCGGTGCTAGCTAACAACCATCAGCTTTTGTTCATCGTCCGCGCTGAGAGACAGAGTGCAGTCGCTCGTGCAACCATCGTAATCCTGCTCACGGACGGTAATTGGATCACGACTCTACACTAGATTGCTTTCTGGGCTATAATAATGGTACCCATAGCTTAATAACCTCCAGACCTTAACAATGAAACTTTCTTTGTTTTTGCAGATGTGAGTGCAGGCCAAGTACTTGGCTTTGAGCGAAATTATTACGTGGGTTCGTTAAACGGCACTACTGTCCATCTTTCTCAGATAGTGCTCAACGAAGGATTCTCGTCGGACGTTCGATTCTCATTAGTAGGCGGTGAGTGATTTACCCAAACGTCGACTGTTTACTACGATGTGATGTGACAAATAGAAGCTAAAATTTTATTTGTGCTTTCCAGAGCTCGCACCCTTCTTCATACTGCAAGACAACCTCGCTACCCTCACAATATCCCTGGCGAATGCCATCCCTGAAGATTCGATACCTGCCAACGGCATTATAATAATTCAGGTAGAAGCGACAGCACCGCAAGTCCTACCAGCGTACACCTCAATTATCTTGGAAGTGACGATGCGTAAAGAAGACCCACCGACAGCTATCGAATTTGAAGAAACGCACTATGTCGGAAACTTCACTACGACCGAAGGCCTTATATTCGACAGAATCATAACTCTAGCAGAGGGCTACGATGAAAGCGTTGAATTCAATCTCGAAGGAGGTTTGCTAGCTACAATATTTTAATCTCTCTCAATTCTAAATAAATTATACGGCAGCATCTTTCAGCAACGGTGTGTCTTTTCTAACTTTCAGAAAACGCTCAGTGGTTTGCACTCGACCGGGTTGAAAACGGTGCGAGGTTAGTGCTTCAAAGCCCCATCCCGCCGGCGGTGCTAGCTAACAACCATCAGCTTTTGTTCATCGTCCGCGCTGAGAGACAGAGTGCAGTCGCTCGTGCAACCATCGTAATCCTGCTCACGGACGGTAATTGGATCACGACTCTACACTAGATTACTTTCTGGGCAATAATAATGGTACCCATAGCTTAATAACCTCCAGACCTTAACAATGAAACTCTCTTTGTTTTTGCAGATGTGAGTGCAGGCCAAGTACTTGGCTTTGAGCGAAATTATTACGTGGGTTCGTTAAACGGCACTACTGTCCATCTTTCTCAGATAGTGCTCAACGAGGGATTCTCGTCGGACGTTCGATTCTCATTAGTAGGCGGTGAGTGATTTACCCAAACGTCGACTGTTTACTACGATGTGATGTGACAAATAGAAGCTAAAATTTTATTTGTGCTTTCCAGAGCTCGCACCCTTCTTCATACTGCAAGACAACCTCGCTACCCTCACAATATCCCTGGCGAATGCCATCCCTGAAGATTCGATACCTGCCAACGGCATTATAATAATTCAGGTAGAAGCGACAGCACCGCAAGTCCTACCAGCGTACACCTCAATTATCTTGGAAGTGACGATGCGTAAAGAAGACCCACCGACAGCTATCGAATTTGAAGAAACGCACTATGTCGGAAACTTCACTACGACCGAAGGCCTTATATTCGACAGAATCATAACTCTAGCAGAGGGCTACGATGAAAGCGTTGAATTCGATCTCGAAGGAGGTTTGCTAGCTACAATATTTTAATCTCTCTCAATTCTAAATAAATTATACGGCAGCATCTTTCAGCAACG